AAAGGAAAAAGTATAAGAAATTATGCTAAATTATTTGAATCTTTGTCGTTCAATTCCAACCATTCTGAAGCAAAAAGCTTTCATTTGAGCATTTCTGACATTTTAGGCATTCTTTATTTCACATTATTCTTCATTACATCGATGACATACATCATTTGGTTCAACCATTTGTTTTGCATCGTTTCAGCTCAGAACCGAACTTTCTCTTTACTCATCTAAACGCTTCTGACCAAATTCAACAGGATCGTTGGAGCAGTGAGTATTTCTCAAATGACTTTGATATTCTTGACCACTGTGATTTGGAGTTAATGCTTGGCACAGATATGGATACATATAATAGTGAAATTACCGGATGTGATGGAAATTTGAATAATGACATTTTGTTCAATCCCTTACGGATTCTTGAATACATTCGATTGGTAAAGTTGAGGATATAAGCAATAAAGAAACGGAAACCGGTACAGATCTCGTCATTGTCGTGGAGAAGATTCCAATAAAGACAGTGTAAGATCAGGTTTCTTTCTTTAAGCAAACTGCTTTTCGTTTTCCATGTTAATCATGATGTGGTGTGACAAGTTTTCTTTGTGCTATTGGTAATTTTGTGATTAATTTTCAAATTATGTTAACTAATTACCAAAGCAAATATAAATGTCATAACAAGATCTTATCAGATGACAAAAAGCATGCATGTGCATATATACAGTAAGTATGGGGAATACAGTGGAATGAAACATAGAGAAATGCAGTGTAAATCATTTCGCTATCAGTGCAAATGACCGAAGTGTAGAATGAATATTCAAATTTCGCGACATATTTTACAAGCACATGGCAACATATTAACTTAATATTCTGTCCAAAAACTGTAGCATGCTCCGGAACTCTTAACTAATCTTGCAAATTTGATGAAATTTTAAACGTGTTTGTATCTAGCTGATCATCAAAGTTAGATTGAGCCTGTTTTATGTGCAGAAAGAAATAAATCAATTTTATTTAAACTAAATTTGATGTAATAAGTTTATCTTGCGGTGTTGACGTTTTTACGACTAATTTTTAAATTATGTTAATAGTTGCAAATGATAGAATGTTAATTGTAAACGCTAATATCATACAAGAAATTTTATAGATGAAGATGTACAATTGCTACAATGTAACCAATCAAGCCAGAGGAGAACATTTTGAAAAGGACAATGAACAAGGTTCATATTCGTGCAGAGGGCCTGGATGTGAAAAAAAATTATCATTGTCTAAAATTACTTCACTAACATAACAAGGCACATCAACCTAAACTTAGGTGTGAATTTTATGGCAATTTTATGTGTTATTTTTTTTTTTTTTTATTGTGAATTTTTTGTCGTCTAAGAGAGTACTAAGAGCTCACAAGGTTTATCAACACAAAACTCGCAATAACACAGAAATGTATCTTTAGTATATTTGTCATATGTTTTTTTTGTCGTTAATTAATTAAAATTCAGCACGGATAAAGTTGTTGTTCTTCCTTCCATTTATATCCTTTACAACAATAAGTAATTAAATTTAAAATCAAAGAGTAATAAAACAATGAACAAATTTCAAACTAGGCGCTTTGAAATTTAATTCGGTTGATGTAACTTGATAAATTTATATGTTTAACAAAAAGTTTCAAGAAAATTTCTCATCTTATTTATCAGATTTTATAAATTTATATCATTCGTTGTAAACAATATTGTCATTCAAAAGTTTTACATTGTTTCCTTAATATTATCACTAAAAAGACGATTAATTAAAATTAAAATTTAATTTTATTATTCAATACCACAATAAATTTATAGCCTTAGGTAACACTATTTGCAAAATTAGTTGTTTTAAATTCGTTGTTATCAAATATTCGATCGTTATACGATTCTTCATGATTGCTCCATGTCCAATCCTCAAATTGTCAACCAAACGGTTGATTTTCCAATCCTCAAATCTCAAATTGTCAACCAAACGGTTGATTTTGCACAGAATGTCCGATAGATTCTTTAGTGAAATATTCTTTCTTTTGCAACAATAACTTACTCTCGTAATCTTTTTCTGTATGACATGGTCATAGGAAAAAATACACGTTTTGTTGAAATTAATATATTTGATTATGATAAATGTTAATTAGGTCCGTCATTTCCTCTATTAGATCTTCCATCAAACGCCTAAAAGAGAAAAGGTATGATATATAGCAACGGCTGCATATTATCGTAGCAATTCATTACTTCAGGTAAAATAAGGCTGGATATTATGATCGTATCCAATCAATATTTTGTTAAACTTCCTCACCTTTTTCTTTTGCGTGATTAGGAACACTTGGAGGTAGCAATGAAGTAATGAATAAGGAATCATTGTAAAGTTGCTGATGAAATATGTAAGTGATTGGCTCTACGACACTCCTCAATTTTCTAAAACAATGGCCATAAGCGTATTATGTAGTTTTGAACGAAGTGAAAAAATTATATCATGTATGGCATACTTGCTAAAACCATATTATCAAAGCAGTATTTTTATTTTGCTTTATTCCTAAATCAAAATTGATATATTTTTCCAAATTTATCAAAAAACCTGAGAAATTTCGTTTTCTTTCCCATTTTTAAACTTAGATGATTAAATTATTCGATTTTGTTTTCAAATAGTTGCAAATGCTATGAAGTGATTGATTTATGTCTTGGATTGAGGATTGTTTCAATAAATTCGTAATTGTTAATTGCTAAATTTTTACTTTTATTGTTTCTAGCTACCCCAGTCCTTTCTTATTTTTATCCATTTCCTTCGTCCAGGCAACTATTCAACTTTTTCATAAATTATAGCAAAAG